TTGAATCCTAAAACACAACTTTTCATATGTCTGAATTATAAAAGGGTCATCTTTATTTACATTGATAATTAAGTCGTCATCTCCATAACCTGAAATACCAGAGTAGAAATGTGTAAATAACGAGCTACAAGAAGCTGATTTAATTTTGGTTTTAACAACAAACGGCTAGGTACTCAGTAAATACAATCCACATCCTACAAGCGCTGTTAATGAAATAGCAAATGCCTTAGAACTCAATACTATCCATTTTTTTAATGTTGACTTTACTTTTATTGCTTTATGATCAGCAATATCAGATTTGAATCTATAATAGCCAAAATTCTTATATTTGGATACTACTAATAAAAAAATTAAAAAATAGACATTGTAATACATTTTTGTAAAATGGTTATGAAAATACCTCAATTTAGAAACTTACTGTTAGGAGAATTCAGTAGTGGCCGGTAATACTTAGAACTAGATACAACTAAAAAAAGGCGATTTAAGTAACTAATACTTTTAGTCATTTTTTCTACTATTGTTCTACTTGTATCGATATAAATAATAAAACAACCGTAGTTCAATATATGATTATTTATTTAATACTAGCTGTGTTGCCTGGCTTCGCCCGGGGTTATGCAATGTGTTTATTTTTTTTAAATTTGATCATAGCTAACGAAGAAGATTGTGTTGTGTTAGTTTAGAGTGTATTATTTTTTATTTCGCTATATTATATATATATACCAACAAGTTGCCAAAATTTTTCTAGATATGTATGCTAAATTAAAAAAAAATCGACAAAGAAGTAACGTTTTCCATTTTTACCCCTTTAAACACCCCTGAAGATTGAATTTTGGAAAATCCTTTCTTAATGCACATCTAGAGCATTAGAAGAATCACTGCTCCACATTTCAATTTCATACGTTTTGTAGTTTTAGAGAAGTAGGGATCAGTGAGTGAGTGGTATTTGGCATTTATGTACATCTGAACGCACGGCAGTGTGCCAGACCAAGTTCCAGCAATGCCAGTGTACTTTACATGAACCAATTCACCCGGTTTTTCTAACTCACATATCTCTGTTTCCTCTTAGGTTAAGCTTTTGAAATTTGAAATATAGATTAAGCTCGAGCAGCTTAGAATACTGTACAAATTTGAGCCCTTAATAGTAAGCTTTTTCAAAAGGGGAGAATTTCAAAGTTTTCATTTTTGTTACTGACTCACTCATCATCAAAATTATAAAACACTTCCCGTATAGGTAGAAACTTGAATTTTTACACAAAGGCAGGTCTTATAGTGTAACTATAGGGAAAAATCTGTAAGTTGCACTTTTCTCAAAATGAATGCCGCTTTAGGGAGTGTAGTTCTAAATGCATGAATATTGCTTGATTAGATCTACACTTGGTCAGTTTCTGAATGAAGCATGAAACATCATTATTAAATGTACTCACTTAGGAGTAACGTGGGTGATAGGAAGGAGATAATTCTCAGAAAAAAAGGTTCAGATCCTATCCTAAAAAAGTGTCGACCAATCAAAGTAGTGGTATATACATTGTGGCTAAGTCTGTTTTATGCCTCATTCAGGGAACAAATGTACTTTACCGGGCACCTTTTTTTTTCGATTTTTTTTTTAATCGATAGTACGTTCAATGCTGATGAAATTTTGCTAATGAATTTTTTGCCGGACGAACTTAGTTTCGGAGTTACTGACGTTTTAAGTTCGCAATTACGGCCGGGCGCGCACTATACAATAACACGGTTACAGCGGGGTCGACTACCTGTTCTCGCCCGTAATGCAAGGCGACGCGACAATACTTACGGCGATATCCCAAAATAGCATTTTATTCATATCGGATTTTTATTGCATTATAGATAGTAATGCAACTATATAATAATTATATATATTATTAAATATATATATTATATAATAATATGCTTTATCTACTATGTTTGAAATGCCATAAGCTGCCAAAATGGATAACGAGCATCATGTGAATTTATTTGACCTAAAAGAATGGAGCTCAAACGAAAACGGTCTAACTTTAATTAACAAATTAATAACATTTAATGTTCTTCCGAACACAAGAAAGTGTCCGAAAGGCCATTTAATGGTATTGGTCAATGATGGCAGTGTACTAGACAATTTCAAATGGAAATGTCGCACTAAAACTGAAAACCGCTCTAGGAAAATGGTTGTTTGCAACTACAGGTAAAATCATTTTTAAAATGGAGCAATTTTTTCGTTTAAAATTTAATTTTTATAATTTATAATAGTGTTTCATTGCGTAAGTCGACATTTTTTTTACCGGTCTCACTTACCTCTACTATCCATTTGTGGTTTTGTCAACTTATGGACAATGAATTGTCCATCAAACGTCATTCAAATGCAACTTCGGTTGTCCAATAAAACTGTTGTGGATTGGGAATCGTTCTGCAGAGAAGTGACGTTTGATGCAATGGTACATAACAAAACGCAATTGGGAGGTATAGGTAAGACGGTGGAGATCGGTGCCAAGAGGTTCCACCCGTGAGTCGACCCTTACCTTAGTTGGTTGGGGTCGACGAGGTCCGGTCCACCTGCTAGCACCAGCAAACGGACCAAACCCTGGCGGTAGGGTAAAAACGCAAAGGGAAGGACAACCCTCCAAAACCCAATATGGAAAGTCTTAACAACCGAAATATTGTTACCGCCCCAGTGTCTTCGGATGACACAGGGGACGCCGGAGGGGGCTCTAGTAGCCCGGCCCCCACTGGTGCCAACCAAGGGCGATGCGAAGGGGAGGCCCCCCAACCAAATGCGAAGTGGAGGTCCCACAACAATCAGGTGGAAGTAGATTTCGAAAAAATGAGAAGGGAAATTATGGAAGAAACAGTGATTACGGGAGAGCACTCTTTAAGAAAGGGCTGGTACCAAGAATATATGGACAAGATAAGAAAGCAAGAAACGAAAATGGAAGTACTCATGGCCGCGGCTGATGCCTTGGCCGATGTGATGCTGGAAGGTCAGGATGGTAATGAATTTCTACCTGGCAACATAGCCTTCGTGGTTAAGAAAGCATTGGAAGATATTAAAGCAGAGGCCACCAATAGGCAAGAAGAAGAAGACAACGAGTTTAGGATGCCCCGCAAGGAAGCATCTCCAAACTTTGTACCACAACCGAAAAAGCGGAAGATTTCTGGCTCGCCGCTCTCACAAGCGAGCCTTATAGTCGAAGAAGACGTTCAACTAGGAGACGACGACGAGGCAATTGGCGTCGGAATCCAGGTGGCGCTGGCGCAGGCAACAAGCTTAACTAGCGAAGTTGAAGCTGCCAACGCAAAGGGTGAGGTAAGAGATCACATCGCGCAATCCGTCTCTGAATTGTGCAGAACGGTGACCGGGATAAGTGATTTCTGGGCAATGAGATCGCCCAACACAGCAGTGCCGCTAAAAGCCGCCCCAAATGCTTTAGAGCTACGGGAGGTGGAGCTCGAAGTGGCAAAAATCGAAGGCGTCATCGCGCAAAGAAATGGAAAGGGGATCAGTAAAGTCATCCAGGATGCCTCAAAGCAGCTTCGAACTTTACTGACGAAAATCGGAGAAAAACCAATTTTACAGGCTGACCCAGAGGGGAAGCCTAGCAGCTCAAGGGAAGAAGGGAATCCAACCCAATCTCAAAAGCCAACTCAAAAGCCTGAGGGCGAGAAGGTGATTGAGAATAAAAAGAAGAAGAAAAAGAAGAAAAAACGCCAGGGACTACCTCAGCATCAGGGTAAGCGCAAGCTGCCACTAATGCCACAGGGAATCATTATATCAGCGGCGAAGGAGGGAGCCTCGTATGCGGACATAGCCCAAAAGTTAACGGCAGGAGTCAATCTTGCGGCTATTGGGGTGTCCATAACGAGCATGAGGAGAAGTAAAGAAGGCCGAATTGTCCTAACCGTCGGAAAGGGCGAGGAAGCCGCGAAGCTGAAGGCAGAAGCAGAGAAGGTTCTAGGCCCTGACGCGGTGATCCGAGAGTCGGCTAGACCCATCCTCATGGAAGTCCTAGGCGTGGGATGCTACGATAGCGCGGACGACGTGATATCGGGCATCTGTCGGGACGGAGCTAGAAGGGAAGATGTAACGGTGCGAAGGCTCGTGCCCTCATTCGGTGGTGCACAAAGAGCCATAGTGCAGGTTACAGGATCAGTTGCCTCACAACTGATGAAAAGAGGAACGGTGAAGATCGGATTCCTGTCTTGCAGGGTTCGACCACGCGAACACAGGATGGAAAGGTGCTTCCTATGCCATGACTACGGTCACAAGGCTTCGGGATGCAAAGGCCCGGACAGGTCTAAGCAGTGTATGACATGTGGGGAGGAAGGACATCTCGCAAAAGATTGCCGAGCCTCACCGCATTGTGTCCTGTGTGAAGCCAGACAAAGAAACGCTGACCACTATCCCGGCAGCGGGAAATGCGAAGCGTATCGAACAGCGAAGGCCAAGATGAAGAAGTGAGACCTGGCGGCGTCTGAGACGCGGGGTAGAAGAGGAGCAGTCACCAGCCCGGCGGCATCTGCGATGCGGGGTGAAGACCAACCCAAATAACAGAAGTCTTAACTTAGAAAATGTAATAATTGTCTAATTTAAGAGATGTATTGTAATTTCAAAACTTATTAGTAGACTAAATTTAGAAAATTGTTTGTGTAATAATTGTCTAATTTAAGAGATGTATTGTGTTTTTCATACTTGTAAATATTTTGTATATATCGTGTTTGATTTCACAATAAACGATGTAAGCGGCCCCAAAGTAATGCTTAATCTTATTTATTTGCAGTGATGTTCCCCATCAAATTTGTTGAGGGTATACTCGGCACAATACATTTTAACAATTACATTGAAAAAGTTAAGATGCTAAAAAAAGTCTTCCATATGTTATTGACTATATTAAGTTCCAAACTATAACCTTGGTATATAAGAGAGGAGTGTTAATGATAAAAAACGAATATTTATTTTCATTTTTAAAATTTATTTACAAAATGAATACATTAAATATAATTATTTATTTAAATATATTAATAAAAAATTGTTTTTGGGACTCTCTGCCTTGCTGGTCTATTTCCTCACTTCTTTTACCACGTAATGCAGAGACTGCCGATCGATGCTCTCGAAGCCAAACCTTCACATATGGTCGTGGATTGAAATCTGCAATAGGAGGGCCATTTATGGAGATGAACATCAAATCTGACACATTTTCAATTGTTAAACGAGTTCTTAAATCAGTTATCGTGAGGTTCATATCGGAAAACCCTCGTTCGCAATCAGCTGTTGTTGTGGGGAGTATGTTCAGCGTTTTTATCAGACTAGAATAAGCATTACGTGTACGAAAATCTATAACACTTTCAAACTCAGATAAACCAAATCTACATGCCACTCTTTTGACTTCATCTTCTCCTCTGGCGTCGTCGGTTTCCGTTTTAAATACTTCGTCGATCACCTACACAATAAAAGAAAATTTCATTTAAACAATGGCCTATTATAGTAAATGCAATTATACTTAGAAATTTCCTTTACCTTTAGGTCTTCTAACATTGTACTATTTTCATGGTCTTTGAACAAACGTTGACGCATGTTGTCAACTAAGTTCTGCAAAAACTGAAGCCTGTTTATCCCTCCAGAATTTGTTATTGTAATTTTGACACCTTTATGAACTGATTTTTGAATAGCTTTAGCTACTTCCATTTCTTTTTCACCAGGATTAGCCTTCAAGCTTTCTAGAATCCTAATTGTTCTGCACATCTCCGATTGAGCTTGCATTAAAGTTGTTTTCCTAGATTGAAGTATGCGAGATAACATTCCAAGTTCAGAAAGGACATCGTAGAAGAGTCCAAGTTCATAAAGGAAGGAAGAAGATTCCAATTTTTTTTTTATCCCATTAGCTGTAGAATCACGAATTTCAGAGACGTGCGTATGAATACCAGGATAGTTGTTCCATATAGCCTTTACTGTTTGGAAGCTACTAGCAGACCAGCGGACATTTAAGATACGACCTATTTTTTTCATTTCAATGCCCACTTCCACACAAGCTTGATCTAATCCCCTCGAGTTTTTGGGACTTTGGTGGTAATACGTGTAGAGTTTGTCCATGAAACTCTGGAAACGGGAAACACCAGTGCAGTTTTTTAAGACGTCGTGTACTGATAGTTCAAGGCGATGGCATAAACAATGCCATACGAATAGTTGCGGCATCTTTTCACACAATTTTGCAGCGACTCCAGCTTTTCTACCCATCATCACACTTGCACCATCGCTTGCAAACGCAATCCAATTCTTCAACGCAAACGACCTTGATATTCCTACACGTTCTAAACCTAACCATAAGGTTTTTTCAATAGTTTCAGCGTCTTGTCCATTCAGCTCAATCAGATCTAAGAATGCTACTATGGGAGCATCTGTATTAAAATATGACAAAATATAAACAATTAAAGTGCACTTGGTGCTTAACGTAGTCGCTTCGTCCACCAAAATGGTGAATTTCGAGTCTGACTGTATAAGGCATGAAATGAGTCGTTTCCGCATTTCCTTTGCTATAACATTTACCATTCGCGTAGCAGTTGTCCGGCTATGCAAGGATGACCCCATGTCCAATCCATTGATTTGCTGAAGTTGTACAAGTTCTTCAAATTGCAAGAAGGGGCGATGGTTCTTTGCCATACAATACACCGTTTCAAAAATTCGCATATTTGAATCCATTTCCTTTTCGGATATATGTTCAAACATATTATCCAACATTTTTTTAGAGCTTTTCTCCGTAATTTGTTCTGCTAACACGTGAGATTTACTTTCTGAGTGTTGTTTAATTTTACTCCTCAAAGACGCCAGTTGATTTTTTCTATTACTTCCAGCAGCTATTATACCAAAATCTACCCATTCGGACGAGATTCGAATTTTACCATCAGCATTCGATTTTTGAAATTGAATACTTTTTTTTCCTTTAATACAAGTACTACATCCTAATTTCCCGTTTTGGCAATCTAACCATGGATTTTTTTCCTGAAATTCTGCCACTTGTTCGTTCGTCCATAATGTAGGCCACATTTTAGCACAATCGATATTATCCTTATTGGATGTTATCGAGGATAGACCAGCATCAGCAATTACATGAGCGTCACTTTTATTTTTTTTCCCTGGACCGGTCGTAAAAAATCTATCGATACTACCACGTTTCGAACTCATTTTAATTTGTATTACTAAAAAAAAGAACGATTAACGAAACAAATTTTCATTAGAAATACCCGAACACCAACCGAAGCGTAACTAACGAGGTCTAGTCTAGCCCGTCTGGGAATATAATACTATAAAAATAATCTCAATGAGAATGCATTCTATATAATATAACTGTCAAACTGTAAAAAGTATGAAATTGTAATATTATTATCGCTTGTGACGGCCTATTATAGGTCGATCATAATAGTGATAATGACAATTTAGTAAAATTGGGTTTACAGGATTGACGTTATTTTCCAAAATAATAATAATTTTATGAAAAAATAGGCCTGGTGCACAACATTTTACTTACTATCTTTATAAATATAATACATTTATAGACATGATTATTTTAGTACAACTACTATTCTGAGTATTCAGTATAACAACGTCGTAAAGATAACACTGACGAACGTCGTCCTAGTGCACAGTTTTTAGTTTTTACCGGCCGAAAACAATTTCCGTACCAAAAATAAAAATATATATTATTCGGTTTTCTATAAAAGACATAAGCCCACTACAAAAAACAATAACTATTTTTTTCACAAATGAATTGAGACTTGAGAGTATACGCAGTATACCCATGATTTATAAAAAAAATCTCGAGAGTATACGGCGTATATGGAGTATACCCTATGGGAACACCACTG